AGCTCCTCAGACCATCCCAATAGGCAGCCAAGTTTTGGAACTACTATACTAGAGTACATTGCCAGCTCCTCCGACTTTATCTGCATATCGCCTCAGATTTGGTCACGCAGGGCAATGAAATTCTGGGCTTCCCTGAGCATATGAGCACTGATTTTGTGTATATTATTGCCTGGGTGTCATGCATAGAAGGCAGTGAACTACCAGATGGGACAGGAATATGGCTGACATGTGTTGCTCCTATCAGGAAAGCAGAGGAGGGTCTCTTTCTCTGTTCAGCATCACCACACCAACAACTCACAATATCCTATTTCTAGCTTTTCAAATGGGGTGGGGTGATTCATTATTAGCTTCTTAATCATTTTAATGGCTTGCAGCCAGACTTTTTAACGGAATGGGATGGGATAAAAGAGCATATCATGTAGGAGAGCCAGTAATTGTTTGGGGAACCACATATATCTTATTGTGGCTCATGGTAGCAAAAAAGCAAAAAAAAGTCTGCCATGCTGCCCATGACAATGTTTTCACAATGTGACTCCAGCTCCTGCTCAGTCTCATTGTGCCTCACCTTGATTTCCTCAACTGACAGATTAGTAAACCTCTACCCTTGAACTTAAAGGACAGCTGTAGTTGAAGCTGATGGCTTCATTCCGTTCATCTGTACAGTACCAAGATGTCACTGAGCCAGGCATCCTGCAGTCTTCTTGAAAAAAGTCATCTCCCTGAGAGGAGCTCACAATGCTGAATGGAGGACTTTCTCCCTAAGAAAGACCTGGCAATAAAGCCACTCCACCGCCAGGTTTTGAGGGGCAGAGCTTGTATAGTTCTGCTAATGGCTTCATTTGCATACTCTGTTTTAAAGGCAAATGACATCTGCCTCAGTGTCAACTGAGAATAACAGACCAACTGTCCAGCAGACAAAATCCCTGATGATTGAAATCTTATTGACAGACCTAATTAGTCCTTTGTATTGAGGGCAATAAAATTTTGCTGAAAGTAGCAGATCCTTCTCCATCAAACACAATATATATGTGTGTGTGTATTTTTCAAACTCTGACTTGAAATATTAAGGAGGGTTCTTTGGCATATGCAGTATTAAAATTGCTGAGCAGAGCTGAACCAGCCAGAAAGCCAGAAGGAAAAGAGACAACAAGAGAGACTGTAGGCAGACGCACTGGCAAGCAAAAATAGTAATGGCAGGGGTGTAGGCAGGGCCTTGAGGAGCTCAGCAGGCAGACAGCTGTGTGAAGGGGACAGGGTGGTGTGAGGGCCATCCAAGCGAGGGGACAGCCAGACTGCAGCAGTCCACACCTGTGGTTAACAAAGCCTTAGAGATACACTAATGACCACATTCTGAAAAAGATCCTGGGTCTCTAATAAAAATGACCCAAAGTGCTGATGGGGATAACATTGCATTTCATAACAAATGCTCTTTGAATTGATTTGGCCAAAAATCTATAGATTCTCTCTCAATCCACCAATAATTTGATTGTCAAAGAAGGGGTTACTTGGGATAAGATGGGTGACCCTGCAGGGAACAAAAAATATCATGCCTATCTGTACCTTCCTGAGGACACTTTAATGCCTGGCCATCATTTCTCTTTCATAGTACCTAGTAAAGTACTCAATAAATTTGGACCGAAAATTGTAAATCGCCAGCCTTCCTTACTCTCCACGTCTCCTTCCAATCAGTGGGTGGGCTCCACGGTAGGGAAGAGCTAACTCTAGCCTTAGTTTTTGCACTAAATAAACCCTCACTCTGCATATTTGCCTTCTGTTAAGAAGCCAAGAAAGGACTTAACAGCACTTTTTGATTAAAAAAATAACAATAACCTGAATAAAAAAAAATAACCAGTGGTAATGTTATTCTTTAGTCAAATAACAGAGATTGCAGCCAGTATATAAATGGAGTCATCTTTGGAAATAGCAGTACAAATCCCAATAATATAACTGCTAGAAACCCAATATGAAATGTCTGAGAAAAGGCTTCCAGGTAAGGGGTAAACTGCTGTAGTAGGTCTATAGCATAGAGCCACACACAATAGGTCAAGTCTATCTGTTAACTTCTTACAGTAAGACTTAATCATGCTCTGCAAGTCTTTAAAAAGAAAAAAGCAGACTGTCTAACTCATTCAATAATTTTGAGATGTGCTGATAAAACAAGAAGAGAATAACCAGGCTCATTTTATTTGTTACCTCCAAAGAGTCCAGTTCCCCAGGCACTGGCAGGACCCTTGTAAACTAATATAAATAACCTGAATGTTATCTAAAACTAGTGTCTTGTTGGTAAAGATTGGCTTTGTAGTTGTTACTCTGTTTATTTCAAATATCAAATAAACAGAATCTTCATTCAGTGGAGCAGTCATTTTCAAATATCGCTTATCTGTCAGAATTACCTGCACAGCTTGGTAAACATGCAATGGACCAATTCTATTAAAGTACCCAGGAAGATTTAAAAGAATATTGATGCCTGGACCTCACTCTAGACCAACTGAATCAGCATCTCAGGGGATAAGGCCAAGGCATTGCTATTTTCTAAAATTACCTACATGAGACTCTAAAGTGGAGACCTGGGTCTGATTTAGTAGGTGAGGGTGGTACCCAGTGCTGCCCGTGTATGATAGGTGTCACAAGTAATTCAGCTGCCCATGATCTGTGGACTTTATTCTCAAAAACACTGGTCTAGGTCATCAGGTGAGAAATTGGGGATCAACAGAGGTGAGGCTTAGAACCTTACCCCCCGTTTTGAGAAAAATCTTGTGCATCCGTGGATGTTTTGTTGCCCTTGTCTAGCTTGGATTAACACTTAGTCTATAGGCACACACCTGATCATCTACATTTGCCCTCTTACAGCACTAAACTATGTTTTCTACCTTTATCTTGCATCTACCTACCACTTCAGCATTTTATTAAAAATAATAATAATAATAATAATAATAATAATAATAAGGGAGAAATGTGGGATTCACATATAAATCAAGTATAAAAATCAAACGAATAATCATAAAAAAAAAACACTGGTCTAGATCATATCAAAGACCTAGGTAAGGCCAAAGCTCTGTGAATCAGTGACTCAAACGGGCATGTCTCACGCTCCCTTGACGTCTTTTCTTTTAGCTCAACACCTCTGAAATAAAACTCAGTCTGCATAGTGAGGAAGCAGAATTACTTTCATCACAACAACCAGATTCAGATATTGATTACAGATGGTTAAGAATAGAAAATGTGTTACATTAGGGCAAAAGTTGATTTTTATGTGAATGTGTTCTCAGAATTTCATAAGCAAAAATGATCGCATTTCTGAGAAAAAAGTAACTTAAAATTAATAGCTAACAAAAATCAGTTTTAGAAATTAGCTTCAATTCAGAAAACATTATTTATATTAAATCATAATTAACATTTAAAGGTCCACTTAGAAAGTACAAGGGGTAAGTACAAAAATAGCCATTGCAGCATTATTTTTAATAGCAAAAAATTAAAACAATTATGTCTATTCAAAAGACTACTTAAATAAATATTACATCTAATTAACTAGAATACATCATTCTTTAAACTAGAATACAATTCTTTAAAAATAATGATGCTGCTCTGTATATATTAACAACAACAACAAAATATCTCCAAGATAAAACTGAATAATAGAAGCAAATGGCAGATACGTATGTAGTATAAAATCATTTGTGGTTTTAAATATTAGACCTGTATGAAATCCATAATATTTGTCTGGGAAGATGCCTAATAATCTGGTCGTAGTGATTTCATTCAGAGAGGGAAACTGTGTGGCTGGGAAAATGAGATTTACTTGCCCCATTAATATTCCTTTGTATCTTTGGGATATTTTTACCATTTGAGTTAATCTTTTTTTTTTTTAAGTGGACAATGTAAACTCTCTATAAGTGCATCTTTGTATGAACAAACCCGGGTACATAGTAGACATTCAATAATTGTTTGTTTATGAAATAAACATGCCACCTTATTTCTCCTCCCCTATTATTCAAATCTCTTCTTTCCTTCATATGGGTGGAAGGAAGAGTGGTTAACTAAAGTCTCACATAATGTATTATACCTTGGCACTTACTGAGTGCTAAGTACGTGCTAAGCATTATGTTAACCTCTTGACATTTCATCATCTCAGGCAAATCTACAACTCCTGTGGAGTAGATACTATCATGTCTCTCTTACACATGAGAAAACTCAGGTGCAGAGAGGGAACTGCAAGCTCGAGCACATTGTGTCTCACACACACACACACACACACACAAACCTACAATAGTAAAGTAACACCTTTAAAATACATGCAAAATGCTGTGAGGACTATGAAGACAATACGCTCTTTGCCCTTCCAAAGGGTCTCCTTAGCAGGGGAAGCATTGTTGTGTAACATTGCTATAATTCAAGGAAAGAGAAAGTGCCAAGGGGGGGGGGGTCCTGAAGTGGAGAAGTCCCAGAGGAAGCAGAAGGAAGGGCTCCTCAGAAGAGCAGGCTCACAGAAGAGGACCTGGTACTTAGGACTTTGAGGGAAGTGGTCAGGAGGAAAATCATGTGATTTATTTATCCCACATTACACTAGGTGCATTGTATACACATCACCTTTTCTTCTAATCCTAACAATTCTAAGCATTCTCGTCCCAATTTTGGCTGAATAAACCAAAACCTGAAGAAGAAACTTTCCCCAGATGTTCTAGTCCTCATTTAATGTCGCCTTACTTCCTAACGGCCTCTCTAGTAGGGACTACCAACATTCACTGCCTCATATATTGTTATGTAACTTCGTGTGTGTGTGTGTGTGTGTGTGTGTGTGTGTGTGTGTGTGTGCGCGCGCTCGAGTGAACACATTCCTTATCTCTAATACACGTGTAAGCTACTTGAGACAGGAACCTTTATCTTATATTTCTTTAATATGCCCCATTACATGCTCACATAGTAGACACTGAAATATTTAGGGGAATGTATTAGGGCTAAGTTAAGTGTGTATAATTGAGCTGTTTTTATTTCATATAAAGGTTTTATGACAGCAGATGAAAGAAAATTATTCAACCACCTCAAATCTCCTCACCTGAAATACTGGGTCCCATTCATCTGGTTTGGAAATCTCGCAGCTAAGGCCCGAAAGGAAGGCAGAATCAGAGACAGCGTAGATCTGCAATCATTGATGACTGTAAGTACACTGCAAAAAGGAGATACTAATCAGAGGCAGACAGGGATCTGGATGTAACAGGAACCTCATCACACCAGGACAAGGCCACTGTGATCAGTCCTATCCCAAAGGGGCCAGGAAGACTGGCCTGGTGTCAGAACCCACAGCATGCAGGACAGCGACAGTACACAGGTTTTAACTCCTGTTGACCAGTAGTCGTTACTTAGAAGTTGTCTTTTAAACAGACCTTGGCTTTGTAATAAGCTCTGTAAGAAAGCATCCCTAAGTTGATTAGCAACATCTGCCAAGAGCTCTGAATGATCTGGTGCCCACCTGGTGCACTTGCCATCCCTGGCTCCAGGATCCCAGAACAGAATTTGGAGTGAAAATAAATCTCCCCAGTCAACTGCCCAAAAATGGACTATCCTGAGGTTAAGCCAGCTTTCCAGATGCTCCAGAAAGTGATTGTGTTTGCATTAGATGAAATAACCCTGAATTCATCTGAGAAACAAATTTATGGAAGGGCTAGAGAGATGTGTGCCATGACAGGTTCCCACTTGGATTAGGCTACAAGGAGTAAGTGATTTAAAAATAGTTCCCAGATTAATATAAACTGTTTTTCCCAGTTTTATAACTAATGTGCAAGAGAAGAAAAAAAAATAAATGGATCTCAGTCCTTTCTGCTCCAAATAGAGAGTGATTTTCTGTCAATATAAGCATCCCAAAGTCCTCATTTGTGGGGGGAAAGGTAAAGGATATATTTACTTCTTTTTTCTAAGATCTATAGTAAACATGTTTTCAAAAGAGATAGAGAAACAAAAAATAATAATAATCTTCTCTGGACAAACATACCTGTTATAAATTAGGGATTCAATAGAATAGAGATATTTATATAATACCCTGAATTATCTGAATTTTTTTTCAATGTCGATCTATAATCAACCTTTTTGCACATTGTTGGATGATACTGGTTGCCTGTCATTTCCAGAATTTTCCTTTTGGAGTAGCCTTCAGAACCTGGTATCAGCCTTGCAAAGTCGGTCTCATCATTCTCCAGACACATTCATAAAAGACATAGCCACATTCTGAACCCCAGGGAATATTTCTTACCACACCCATCATTTTAGTAAATTTTGTCTTCTCTGTTTCTGGCTTAGGAAATGAACCGATACCGCTCTTGGTGCAGCCTTTTATTTGGCTATGACTGGGTTGGGATTCCGCTGGTTTACACCCAGGTATCAGATACTTTGCACTTCATGTTTATTTCTCCTTCCCTACTTTGGTGCCAGCGCTCAGTTCTCACTAAAATTTCTCTGTATTTCAGGTTGTCACCTTGGCCGTCTACACCTTCTTCTTTGCATGCTTGATTGGACGCCAGTTCTTGGATCCCACCCAAGGCTATGCAGAGCATGACTTAGATCTCTACATTCCAATCTTTACTCTCCTGCAATTCTTCTTCTATGCAGGATGGCTCAAGGTAGCCAAGTGTCATTGCCTGAGACCCTCTCTGTAATCTCCTAGCATGTTCTGCTCTGCACACTGATCCTTTATTGGGTCGCTCATTCATGAGTGAACCAAAGACAGGTTTAACAATTAACAGGTTAGAGATGCTATTACTCCTCAACCAGGGAATAAAGTGGATGTGGTGACTGCTTCACGGCAGCAGTCTGAAGCAGAGGTTACAGGAATACCCTTTCATGGGTGTTGGTTTTTTAAAGTCTTTGTATCCTCCTATTAGGATTATAATAATTTAATTACAGCAATATCTGTACCTGCACTGATATTTTATGCCACAAAAGCAACTAGGCAGATTCAAAGACAGTAAATAAGAAACCTTGTATCTCAGACTTAAGCATTAATATTGTGCTGTTATAGCATCATTCCCCAAAATCCCATTGGCTGTCCCACAACATTAAATGCATCCCATTTGCAAAACCAGAACTGAAATTCAGAAAAGAATTCATTGTAATCAAAACCAGAAACACCAGGATTAATGATGACATTTGGTTTGCCGGGTAACTAAAAACAGGTCAGAGTAAGGAGGACTTGTCCACTTATCAGTGCAGCAGGTATTTGCTCCCACTACCACCATTGCCCCTCCCTAGATGGATGTGTAAATATCAGAGGCCTGCTTCTTCCATATCTTTTGTGAACTTCCAAAAGAGAAATATGTGATGAAAAAAAAAATCAAGTCAATGGCTTCTTTAAGCTCACTGAAATCTAATGACAGTTTGAAGATGACTTTAATTAAATAGAATGTTCAAACATTTGACCTCCCAAACAGCCACATGTTGACATGCGCTGGGTGGGGGAACCTCCCAGGTTGGACAACATATTCCCAGCAGTTGCCTTTACTTTTGTTGGCTTCAGTCTTAACAAGGAAAAACAAATATGTTGGCATTTCAAATTATACTCCAAAGAGTAAAAAAGGCATGTCCTTTACAAATGGCAAAAACATTTTAACCATTTGTAAATTGACAGTGATTTGTAATTATTTTTACCCATTTAAGGCAGAAAAAGAGCAGGAGAGATTAACAGTCCTCATTTCCCAGAACAGAAAAAAGTAGACTCTACTTTTATAAAAAGAAAACCACCACAGTTGGCCCAAGCGCTCAGTCATCCTGGTCTTAAACTGTCCTCTCTTCTGATTTGTGCTGAGGTTCTCATTCCTTGCTTGTGTCTGTGTGAGGTGCTCAGCCAGCCTATAAGACATGGATAGCAGTTCCTGCCTTCTGATATGCTCCTTAAAATACCAACAATCTCTTCCTTTGTAAAACAGTTTTAAAGGCAAAATGTTAGGAGACGATCTTAGCTCCTTTAAAAGCTATGCAACCACGAGAGATGTGAGTTTTCCCTGACAATGCATTGTATCTCAATTTCTAAACAGCTGCTTAATCTTGAACATTCTAATATTTATAAATCTTTTCAAAATATAGAAAACCTATCCTAACCTTAGGAACAGTGTATTACTCAGTTATTTGCTGGAAACAGAGCCTCCAAGAGAGTTAAGAGTATTTTTGTGAGATAGATAATTCAGAAACATGGACAACGTTTTGGTACTTGAATGTGACTCTAATACTGTATGCAGGACTGATGCCATAAAAGTGAAGTTTTGGACATAATAAGAATATATTCCATTTAACTTAAGGAAAACCTTACACAAAAAAAGGATAGAAAATCCCTTAGAACTTGCAGTAAAGGACTTTGATGTGGATATTGCTGTATGGCTGACTGAGTCAGGGCACAGGCCTTGCCTAGGGCTGTCTGTTAAAAATAGGGAGATGTACTTCTTTAAGTCAGTGGTTCTCAAAATGCACTGAAGTCTGCTAGGAGCTTTACTCAATACTGATGCCTGGGGCTCAACCTCACACTATTGGATCAGAATCTCTGGGGGAGGCACCTAGTTATCAAATTTTTTTTAAAGTTCCCTAGGTGATTTTGATGTTCAACCAAGGTTGAAACAACTGCTCTAAGTGATTAGACTTAAATCCTAAAAATAAGTAGGTAGATTTTGTACCAAATCGTCTCAGAATCTAGAAACTCAACTAATCAATGGTGCTTTCTTTTATGCACTTTTTTTACCAAGTAGGCCCAGTGTGAAACCACACATACACACACACACACACACACACACACACACACACACACACACACACAGGAAATAAAAATCAAAGGAAAATGACAGGGTCATATCTGAGTCATATTTGGCATTTAAATCTCTCATCAAGAAGGCTATAAAATTCAGGAACACTGTGAAAACATCTAATATTGACCAATTACTAGAGTATATGGGATAAGACATCACCTAAACTTTTCTCAGAAGGAAAACTAACTTACTAGATAACACTAAATCCTTCAGGGTAAAACTAAGTAATACAAATTACAGTTTTATGACTTAACCTGCTCTCTCTGACTCATTCATTTAGCAGTTACATCTGGTAACTGTGAAAACTCTTTGTATTCTTTTCTTAAATTGCATCTTAAGTCTTTCTCTGCTGTTTAGTCTCCCCCATGTTTACCTTTTGGGTCATCACCTGGGCCTTTGTAAATTAAGAACACAGGCTATGTACCCTTTGAAGTGCCTTCCACATTGTCAATGCTCCTTCAATATTCACTGGTTTAATCATACCTAAAAGCAATCATTTGACTCCTAAGTTGTGCATGGCTTCTCCTGGACAGGGCCTCTTCACCACAGCCAGATGCACTGGACAACTTACCCATGCAGGTGTGTTCTGCATAGTCTGAGAGGTGAGTCTCACTTGCTGATAAATATCTGCATTTTGTAGAACAACCCACTTCCCTCTAAGCTTTGTATTATGAAAGTGACAAAAGAAAGTAGAGAGGGAAACAGTAGCCATCTTCAACCTCCATTCTGTCTTTATAAGCATCATGATGGACTCATCACTGTTCTCCACTGCAGGTAGCTGAGCAGCTTATCAACCCTTTCGGAGAAGATGATGATGATTTTGAAACTAACTGGTGCATTGACAGAAATTTGCAGGTTAGAGGAGCTTTTCTTTCTTTCATAAACGTTAATAATAAATCACTGCTTATGTTTCTAATAAAAAGAGATGGTGAATGAGCTTGAATCCCCTGCACGGCAGAGCTTTAGCCAAAAAAAATGTGGTTTGGTTATGGAGTGGTTGTCTTGGGTTGTTCTGAAACCTCACAGGTCCTGGATCTCAGTTCCAGGTAAAACATAGCCCCTTTTAAATAGAATGTCAAGCCAGCTTTCTTTGTAAGTTTCTTTATTAACTTTACACAGCCTCTTCTATCTCAGTACAGAATAATATTTCAATTCGTTCTCTAATCTGTTTCTATGGGCAGTGACATAAAGGGGCGGTCGAACACGATCTAGTGTGAGCTCCCACACTGGTACTCGGTGGGTCCCTGCAGCTGATGTTCAGCAGCTGGGCACTGGAGGGTAGCCAGATGGCCTGAGTCTCAAAGTTGCCTAAATCACACCAAATGGACCACAGGGCCCTTCCCTAAAGCATTATTTCAAAGAGGGTTTTCATGAAGAATCAGCATGAGAGAATTTTCCTTTTAGGCAAGACACTCCTCAGCCCATCCTCTTCCCCGAAAACCACAGACAAGGGTCTTTGACTTGTCTGTTTGTTTGAGCCCTTACACAGCTCATAATCAGGTTCAAAGATTTCACCGGTAGATCACTGTTGCTTCGCAAAACTGACACCCATATCCAGAGGGCAGGGAGAGACCAAAGAAAGAGGCAGACCTCTCCAGGCTGACACACAGCAGTTTTAAAACACAAGGGAGCTTCTAAGGCTTGTTGCGGGCGCCCAACAAAATCTCCAAAGTTTATTTAGAGGCCTTAACTGGGTCCAGTCATGTGTGCCATTTCGGTAGTCCCAACAACACCTCTGTCAAGGCTATGATCCCGAAACTGGGAATAGTGGGTAGAACGTACATCCCACAGACAAGGGAGGGGGTGAGGAGCCTCTGATTGCTCAGGACCAGCCCGAGGATCAACAGGTGGGCACATCCTCTCCAAGATCTCCTCCAACAATCCCCTGTTGCTCTGTTGAGAAGTGCTCTGCTCCCCTTGTTCTTTGCAAACACTGGGTTCCCAGAGGATTAATTATTTATTCATGTACTTGTTGGTCCAAGTCAAGAGGAGAGACCATGACAGCTCCAAGCAGGATAGGCTTGTAGAACCATTTTTCCAAACAACCAAATAAAAATTCAGGGCACAAGGAAATGATATCAAGCATAAAAGTGTTACTGGAATAAACTGAATGGGATACTGAGAAGCTTCCCCTTCCTGTAAATCTAGCATTGTGTGGCTGCTGTCAGGATAGCCACTAGACAATATGGTAACTTTGAGCAAAGAAGAAAAAGGTGCCTCTCCTGCCTCCAGGTAAGATGTGGCTCCACCATAGGGCACGTGGCCTGATAAACCAAGTCTGGACAGTTTGACAGCCCCACTTACCCCTGCTGCCAAGTGATCTCATGCAGCAAAAGACACGGACAAGCCTTTGTAGCAGGCTTGGCTCCTTCAAATATGAACAATGGATGTGTATATATTCACTCACTCAGATTTCTGTTCTATCCACTCCAAATTCCACCCAGCCACTGGAATTTACTCTTTTTTCATACAGTTCAAATCTGAATTATTCTAACAATATAACATTGATTTTAGGTCTCTCTTTTGGCTGTGGATGAAATGCACATGAGCTTACCCAAGATGAAGAAGGACATTTACTGGGATGATTCTGCTGCTCGACCCCCATATACTCTGGCAGCTGCTGACTACTGCATACCCTCATTTCTGGGCTCAACAGTCCAAATGGGGTAAGTGTATTTTTTTTAAATCATCAATATTTGGAAAATAGGTAGATCACTGTTCTGATCTTTTTATGCCCTGGTCTTGAAGTTAACATTCATGACAATTCTCAATTATTAATGACTGATAACAGTAGCCTTTTCAAAATTTCAGATATAATTAATAAGCCTAAGGGAGTTAGAGAGAAAAGAGACTGTTGTTTCTGGTTTAAATGTGGTATATGTGTGTGTGTTTGGAAGTCATTTGCATTTTACCTCGCTTTTATACCACAGCAAACTTTTCTACTATTTGTAAAACTATCCTCCTTTTTGCCTTTCCATTTGAAGAGTTGTTTAATTAGTTAACTATGTGGTCATTTATTATTTAATCATGACTATCATAATTAAATGTATTTTTAACCAGTGTTTATTAAGTATGTAGCATGTGTAGGCACTGTATTTGACTACTTGGAGACAAGCAACTCTAAAAGAATGAGATGAGTTTTATCAAAAGTTTTCTCCAAAATTATAGTTCAATCCAGCTATGTTCAGTATGTATATATTCTCTGTCCCGTGGTTTTAACATAACAATCTGTCCCTACGTACTGTGAGCTTTAAATAAATGGGCTAAGGCCTGAAGTAGATCATGCACAGTTCTTGAATAATTTTATTAAATCTGATAATGTATTTGATTTTGGAGAAATGTGTGAATGTGGGGGAAATTTAAGTATATTTGTTGAAGGCAGATGCTACAGTTTCCAAGTAACTTAAAGAGTGTGGACAAATTTAGAAAAATATGAGGAACACCTCTAAAAAATTGTAGAAAAAGAGAAAATGTCTTCAGAATTTGTCTTATAACTCATGGCAAAACTGTGGTTCCTCGTTCCCAGAGGCCAGCTCTGAGAAGATCAGTGGGGCGAGTTCAAGACCTGGGGTTGCCACCTGTGACCCTTTCCCCCCTCTCCCCACGGTGTTCAGCCTCCTCTTTTCTGGCTCTCAGGATATCTAGCTTCCATCCTCTTCCTACAAGAATTTACTCTTAGCCAAATGCCTCCAATCCTTATAAACAATGATTTGTGGCCAAAGGAGCCTCTGAAGTGGAAAGTCACGATCCAAAGAAAAAGATGACAATGGAGAGTTTCAGGAGTTGTGGCAAATAATGAGGTGATTTAGGAGCCAGGAGATTTGCATTGTTCTCTTCAAAGCAGACCATAGAGAAGGCTGCCTGCTCCAGACTAGACTTGCTTCTAGGCAGCCTGCTACGCCCAGCGCCACCTGCTCAGGGCTTCTGCCAGGCCAGGGTGCTCATCCCGACCCCAGCCCATTGCTCATTTCCTGTAGTTGGCACTTCTCAGGATTTTCTAACACACTCTGCACTAGCGGTTTCATGGATTGTTAAATCCTTCTCAAGTTTGGGAATTAACACATTATTTTCTTGAGTTTGTTTTTAGGTAGTTACATATGCTTTACATCTTCCCCTTCACTCCCTTCTTGATTAACGCGAAGCACTGGGAGATCCACAGTGTAAAACAGAAGACACCCACTCTATTGACAGGGTCAGGGAAAATCATAGGATGACGTGATTTAAACTGCAAGTGCCATTTGCGCTCCGCTTCTAAAGCTCCATCAGCTGTCTTGCATGATAGTTAAAGTGGTATTTTTTTACTCTTCAAGATTTTTATCTTGATCTACAGTCATCCTAATCATCATAATTTTACATGCCTGTACTAGTGTCCATGTTCTTCAGAAAGTACTAAAATATGCAGTGCTCCCATTTCTAAATATAGAAACATAGAACTTGGAATTTACAAGAACTCAGGGAAACTCTACCCCAAATGATTACTGAGAAGACTAAACGAGGTTTTAAACATGAAAACTCTAGATGTAGTGCATTATTCTTACCTACTCATGCAGGTCTCATATTTGGGGGTGTCAAAGTGAGGCACAGAAAGATTAAACAAGTCTAAGCTATTTCTCACATTAAACTAGCCCTGGAAATTTGGGACAGAAAATAACATACTTGAGAGAAAACCAGGAGGTACAGTACTTAAGAATGCAGCAAAACATTGCAGTCCTCAGAGAGATCTGTACTGAAGATGTCCTATTGACTAGCACGGTGGGAGCAGGCCAAGGGCCAGAGTCTGTTAGGGGAGTTTTCATGAGACATTTAATGACTCCACTAGACCCAACTACTCAAAGAAACAATTAGGCAAAAACTCACTTGATTGAATTTTCTGCAATCCAGGACAAGTCACAGCAGGAATACAGCCTTTGGGAAGTCAGCATTCCGGAGACGCCCCCTTTGATCCTCTAGTGTCGATTCCTATCACGACTGTGCTAGTAGACAAGATGTTTCTGGTTGACTGTGACAGAAAACCAACTCAATCTGAATTAAGCAAAAGGGGTTTCTTAGGTCACATGCAGGGACTAGCCTAGCTTTGGGTGTGGCTTGATCCAGAGGCTCAAAGAATGTCACCAGGACTCCCTATTGCCCTCTCTTTCCCTCAGTTCTGCTTTCCTCTCCACTGGCTTTGGTTTAAGGCGGGCTCTACCCTCCTGATGGCAAACTGGCAAGAAGGTGGCCAGAAGCTCCAGGCATACAACCTATCTTCTCTGTAAATCTTTGGAAAGAGCACATTTCTTTTCCAACTCTTAAAACTGAAGTACTGGATTTATGAGGATTGGCTGTGCTTGACTAACATGTCCACTCCCGACCTGTTTCAACAGGGAGACACAATATTTTAATCAGCCAAGGCTGGTGTATGGGGTCCATTTGGACCAATGGGTATGGTCAGCCGGAGCCAACCACATGGAATAGGCAAAGTGAAACCACGGTGAATGCTCTGCTGGGCTGACAAAATCAATAGATATCCTCCAGAATCACAAAAGGCAATTCCCTAAGCATTGAATTATTCACTCACCAAATACAAGGCCAATATCAAGATAGCCATCTGACCAAACCTGGGGAGGAAAGAGAAAGTAAAAGCAAGGATCGTGGTAGTGTGGGTGGCCCTGTGGGCAAGCTCCTGGTATCATGGTGGAGACCAGGTGTCAGCATAGCACACGTGCAGAAGAGTGTTTGCTGCTTGATGAGCATATAAAATCTTTTCCTGGATGAGTGAGTTTTTATTTTCTTATTCTATTTAAGGTATATGTTCCCAGTATATTTAATTCAGAGATCAAATTTCCCTTATCACTTCATATCAACATTTCAGGTTTGTAACCCTAATTCTCATGACCCAGAAATTCCAAAAGAAGGGCAATGCCTTCTCTAACTGAGCAAAAAAATGTTCTCTAGGAGCAACTGAGAAATTATTCTCCTTTATAGTCAGCACACTTCTCACTCCCATGAAAAAAGGATACTCCGTGGAGACAATTCCTTTGTTCTCTATATTCAGGAACATGTCCAAAATATTGTTCTATGTTTCTACACACTTCCCCAAAATACATTACTGAATAAAGTAAGTTTTTCCCCCTTTTTATCTCAAGTATAAACTTGAAATATCATGTTTTTCCCTGTGTCTTCACATGGGGAATGTACTCATTCATTTAGTCAGGTGAAATTTTCTTTCAGGGCCTAGTATATGGTAGGTTCCATGCTGGAGATAGACCGGAAAACCCCCCACCTCTTGAGCTTACAGACAGTTATCCCAGCAGCTGGCTGATGGACTGCTGGGGATAAGTCTAGAGTCAGAGGGACTAGTGAACTGGCTGTTAGTGAAGTTTAGACAGGAGAGGATAAGGGCCTGAGCTAGGGTGGCATCACAAGGGATGTACACAGAGCAGATGACAGAAGGGAGAGATTTAAGAAAGAGAGAGGAGTGAAGAATAGGTAGGAGTTGGTAGCGGAGCAAGTATGCTAGAGAGTAGAGAGTAGGAGCTGCTGTAAGGGAAAGGGGATGAGCTCCCTTTTGCTCACAGGAGCGCGGGGGCGGCGGGGGTTGACATAGGATGGCAGGGGCTGCGGCTGGTTGTGGGGAGGGAGGCCGCAGAGTCTGCATGGGAGGATGGAGCTGTGGACGGGTGCTAGATGGGCTGCCATGTAAAGGGTGCCTGTGCAGCTAGGGAAACAGGACCCCATGTTCTCACCACATCCCATCAGCAGCATGGCTTAATCGAGATGAAGTTTTAATTAACAAGGCCCATCCTTTTCTCTCCAATCTGAGACCAAAAAACTTCTGTTTTAAACTGCATTTTATTGTTTCTAACACCAAGCCAGTGCTGAAGGCCCACACCCCCAGTCTTTGTATGAAGCATGTTACAAATCAACTTCAGAATGACCACTTGGAATGAAAAAAGGCCAGTTGAAAATCTGAACTGAGCACCGAAAATAGAAATATTTTCATAAATATATGTGTCTTGAGCATTTAATAAATAGTGTTAACTTATTGTATGGACAGTAATCTCCACTCAACAGACCATCCTATAAATTAACTGAGCAATGAAAAAAAAAATCTTCCCTATTTGAATCCTGTTCCCATTATCACGCCAGAGATGAGCTCAGTTGAATCTGCGCAGTTTGTTCTTTTGTCATGCTACGGAACACTCTCTGATCTGCAGTTTTGATTAAGGGATCTTTTCATTATCTTAACCATGGAGACGCTATTAAGATGAAGAAAATACCCACAAGCAGCCAAAAGAATTATCCACAAGGTGTATATCAGGAGAACACACCCATGCCCTAAAATGAAAATGGGTCTTCTTTGGGCAATGGTAAAGATTTATGCTTGATAGACCTAACTTTTCCAAACCTAGAATGTTTAAACTCAAGCCAGCATGGTTGAGAATATATTTCTTTTTAAAACAAACAAACAAAACATGAGGCCCAGGTCTGGCCCACCACAGCTAGCCTGGCATGGAATGCTTGCCTTCACATTAAGCCATTACAAGTCACTCCAAAATTCTTCTTATTTATTTAAATACTTAGGATTATCCATTAGCACACATTTCTAAGTCTCTGAGGAATGAAACACATGGAAATTAAAGGCCTGAGGTCTCATAACTCCCTTTAATCCTGTCTTGAAAATCAA